CCCTGCCTACAACACACAGAGATCCACCTGCCTCTGCCTCCCAAGCTCAGGGATTAAAGGCGTGCGCCACTGTACTGGCTGGAAAGCCCCAAGTCTAAGGTGATGCTCATCTTTTGGAAAACAGCTGTGGATTTTTTGAGACAGGACAGCGCCCAGAAAATGGTCATGTGGAGGGCAGTGCCTCTCTCATTCACTGGCTCCCATGGCTGTCAGCCTGTGGGACCTTGTGAGGCTTCAGAATATGTTCTAGGCCACCTCCCACACCCACAGATGTTTGGTGAGAGGGGAACCTTGCAGAAGCTTCTAGAGAAACAGCCAAGCATCCCCGCTTGGGGCCCACATCCATGGCAAACAGTAGTAATATTTACTGAGTATTTCTGGGAAAATGAGTGCAAAGCGCAGGCGATGCCGTGCAAATTGCCAGGACGCAGAACATTAGCAACATGGAGCATTTAATGAGTCTAGGAAGAGAGGAATGAGTTTCAGGAAAATGTCACTTGCAGAAATGTAAACAGGCTTCTCATATCTCCCTGTGCTGGGGACTTGTTTCAGTCTCCAGGTATAAGCAGAGCTATGATTCTGGAGAGAGATCGGGTTCTCCAGACAGAGCGAGGAGACTGAGCAGGAGGCCAGAGGGGTTGCTGTGAATTTCAAATCCACTGAGTCCGACTGGATGGTATCTCAATGGTGTTGGGTGGAAATTAAAACTCTGTGCCTGGTGTGATTCCCTGACAAGCATTTGCTGTAATCCCAATGCTTGCGCCCCCACCTGCCAATTCAGACACTAAATGGTGGTAGATAAGATGGAACCTTAAGGCATGATGACATCATGAGGAGCAAGCCCTTCTGGATGGGATCAGTGGCTAAAAATACTTACCAAGGAGGCTTGACAACCCAAATTCAATCCCCAGGGCCCATACAATTTGTAAGGAGGTATGACTCCATAAAATTCAACTCTGACCACTACATGATTTTAAAAGATCCAGGACTGGAGAGATGTTAGCAGTTGAGAGCACTAGCTGCTCTTGTATGCAACACAGGTTTGATTCCTAGCACCCACAAGTTGGCTCATAACCATCTGTAACTCCAGTCCCAGAAGATTCGACACCCTTTTCTGTCCTCTGAGGGTATCAGGCATGCATGTGGTGTACAGACATGCAGGCAGACAAAACACCCACATAAAATGAATAAATTTTATAAATAAATAAATGAACAAATAAAGAGACCAGGCATGCATGTGGTGTACAGACATGCAGGCAGACAAAACACCCACACACATAAAATGAATAAATTTTATAAATAAATAAATGAACAAATAAAGAGATCCCTGGTAACACTCCACTGAGGAGGCCATACCCGCCATATGGGCTTGTCTGTCTGCAGATTCTCTGAGAAGCCCACACCACACCCATGCACTCAGGTGTGCCTTGCTTGCTTCTGAACATCCCCCTTTCTCTTAATGCTCATGCTTAAGCCTAAACTAAAATACCTCTATCAACCCCCAACTTTGTTTCATTAAAAAAAAAAATGAGACCCAAGAGTCCACTATTTGAAAACCAGCAGGGAGCCTATAAACTAGAAAGCAGTTAGCCCTCCCCAGACAGCAGTCGTCCCTCCCCATTGGTAGGCCCTAACCTTTGCTTCCTAGCCTCCAGATCTAAGAGCCAAACACTGCTGTGCTTCTCAGTTGGTGGTACCTTGCTTTAGCTGCCATAACAGACCAAGAAGGAGGATGGTGTCTTGTTGAGGTGTGAAAGGCGAGGACCGAGATCGCCCAATGCACTGCCTATCTCAGTCAGCTTTGGGGCATCTGCCACTCGTGTTGCTGGGCCACAGAGGGGCCTTGTCCAGGTGGCTCCAATCGGCTCTGCCCAAAACTGCGTCTGCAGTAGCTCGGCGTGTGGCTCAGGAAAGGCCAGAAGGCTGTTGGCTACAGAATGCTTTCTTATCCTTCTTCCTCTGCAGTGCCAGACAGTATCATCACCAAGGCTCTGGCTGATCGTCTGGACCAACAAGACTGCATCCAGAAAGGATGGGTGCTGCACGGCTTCCCAAGAGACCTGGACCAGGCACAGATGCTGACCTCTATGGGCTACAGTCCTAACAGGTGAGCTGCTTCCCCAGAGCCCCAGGCCCTCCCAAGGCCCTGGCAATCTTCTCCCTACCAATAGTTTCTAGTGCATCAAATGGGATGAGTATGTCATCCCATTTCTCATGCATCCCACTGCATTTGCCCTGTGAGCTCAGAGTCCTGCTGCAGGCTATGGGTTTAAGTTCTAGTTAATGTTGCTCTGGCTCTGTCCATGTGCATAACCTGGCCTCTGACATTCTTAGGTCCACCTCTGAACTTCTGTTTCCCATGTCTATTTCTCCAACACTACCGCACTAGTGAGCCACTTGAGGTTGTGTGTGTGTGTGTGTGTGTGTGTGTGAGACGCTGGTTCTCTTTCCACCTTGACGCGGGTTCTGGGGCGCAAACTCAGGCTGCCAGGCTTATGCCATGCCATCTTGCTGGTGTTAGCCACTTTAGTTTTCTGACGTATTTCAACACGCTATAGGGCATTGCCCTCTTACTGCACTTTACTGGATGTATTGTACCAGGTGGCATGTATTGTTTTACATTTGAAGAGGGAAAGTTCCCATGGGAATTTCAGGGGGGATTGCCTTGACTTATCAACTGATCTTCTGTACCCAAGCATGACAGAAAAAGGTCCAGCACCCTCTTGGGGTGCATGCTCTGAATTCTAAGTGAATTCTAAGCCCATTTCTAGATGGGACATTGTCTGTTCTTGTTGCTGGAGATGTCAAGGTGAGTTGGTTGTGTCTGTTTTACTTTTCTCTGTGTGTGTGTGTGTTTTTTTTTTAAAGAGAACAGGGAAGGCCTTGTTTCTTGCTTTTTAATTTTTCAAAAGATATATTTATTTATGTATATAGTATTCTGCCTGCACACCAGAAGAGGGCACCAGGACTCATTGTAGATGGTTGTGAGTCACCATGTAGTTGCTGGGAATTGAACTCAGGCCAGTGCTCTTAACCTCTGAGAATCTCTCCAGCCGTGTTCTTTCTTTTTTATTTGTTCTCTAGCTGGCTTGCAAAACTTTCTCTGAGTGTTTGCACTTGTGACGCTTGATTTTTCCAGGTGGAGGTAATGGTGCCCCATCTACAATTACTTATCTTTGCCTCTTTTCCATTGCAGTCTTAATGTTTCCCTCTTTACCATTTAATTAATTAGCATGAAGACTGTTACATTTTACTGTGCTGTTTTCAACAAAATTTTTATTGATTCCCCTTCTTGACTCTTCTCTATCCCCCACCTCGTTTGTCTTTGCTCCTATAGCCTCCTTTCCACTTCCAGGTCACTGTGTCCTAATGCCCTGCCCACCCTTCCTCAACACCCATTTTCCCCCATGTTCACTCACATACACACACACACACACACACACATGTTCACTTACACACATGTTCACTCACACACATGTTCATTTACATATACACATTTGAGCATTAAAAGCTAGAATCTGAATGAGAACATGTGATTTTTATCTTTCTGAGTCTTTGTCACTCACTTTACCAATTCATCCATTTTTTAAAGACTTATTTATTTATTATGTGTACAGTGTTTGGCCTGCATGTATGCCTTCAGGCCAGAAGAGGACATCAGATCTCACTACAGATGGTCGTGAGCCACCATGAGGTTGCTGGGAATTGAACTCAGGACCTTTGTTAGAGCAGGCAGTGCTCTTAACCTCTGAGCCATCTCGCCAGCTCCCAATTCATCCATTTTCCTGAGAATTTCATAACTTCATTTCCCTTTTATTTGTTGTGTTTATGTACCACATTTCTATTACCTGCTCATCAGTTGATGACATCTAGACTGGTTTCTTTGCTATTGTGAAGAAACATGGGTGTGCACATACATATCTCTGTGGTGGATACAGAGTCCTTTGGGGCTATGTCTTGTGGGAGCTATATAACGAGACGACCCGTAGAGCATGAGACTCTTAATCTCAGGGTCGTGGGTTCATGCCCCACGTTGGGTGCCAGGTATAACGAGATGACCCCTAGTCTGTAAGGTTAAGATATCTTTATTCAGATAAACACCAGCCAAATGCAAGCCAGAGCGTGCCAGGGGCAGCAAGGCAGACAGGCCAGAGAGAAGGCTCCCATGTGCCTTGCAGCCCCTTAAATACCCATCACCAGTCATCCTGACTTCACCTTGACCACGCCCTGACAGGCATGGTCAGGCACACCTGTAGCCAGCTTCTAGTAGGCATGGCTTACTCTCCCCATGCAGTACAGAGCTATGCTTTTCATTTTCTGAGAAGCCTCTGTACTGATTTCCACAATGGTTACACTAGTTTATAGTCCCTCTAGAAGTGAGTAAGCATTCCTTTTTCCCCACATTGAATTGAAAGTTTCTACCCAGGCTGGGCATGGTGGTGTACACCTTTATTCCCTGCATTCAAGAGGCAGAAACAGTTGCATCTCTGTGAACTTGAGGCAAGCCTGGTCTACATAGCAAGTGAGACTGTGTCTCAAAGAAACAACAAAAAAGTTCTGCACAACAAAGCTGACAGACAACCTACAGAATAGACAAAAATTGCCAGTTTTTAGACAGGCATTTACATACACACACATACACACATACACACACACACACACACACACCACACCACACCATTTAAAAATTAAATTTAAAAAGAGCAGGGTTATCCTGGACTACATGGGTGAGTCTAAAATAATCATATGATCCCTCAAAGCCTTGAGAACAGAAGAGGAAGTCAGAGAGAGGCAGGACAAAGGAAGAACCAAAATTGCCACTGCTGGCTTGAAGATTGGGGGTCTCCTGGAAATTCGAGGAGATTAATTCTACAGCGTCAGTGAGCTCCAGGGGAGACCCACCACCCCGACACCTGCAGATCCTGACCCACAGAGGTTATCTCAGAATTCCTGAGCAATTAAGGTTGTTAGGGTAGCAACAGGAAACTGACAAACCTCTGGGCACACATGGAGGTCAGAAGATGACTAGTGGGGGGCTGGAGAGGTGGCTCAGTGGTTAAGAACACTGCCTGCTCTTCCAAAGGTCCTGAGTTCAATTCCCAGCAACCACATGGTGACTCACAACCATCTATAATGAGATTTGGTGCCGAACATTGTACACATAATGAATAAATATTTTTTTTTTAAAAAAAGAAGAAGATGACTAGTGGGAAAGAGTTCTCTCCTTCAGCCATGTAGATCTCAGCAATGCTGCTCAGGTCATCAGGCGAGCGCCTTTATCCACTGAGCCATCTCACTAGCCCTTTAACATTTTTACTTCATTTGTTGGTTCGTTCGTTCATTCTTTCTTTTACTTATGGAGTGTGTGTGAGACCTCTAAGTTTTTAATTGCTTATTCTATGGCTAGTTGTTTAATAGTTACTTGAAACAGTGTATAATTAAGACTTAAAGTCATGTCACTAAACATATGGTCTAAGTAAATACGTTCATTTTATGTTCAGATCCGTACCCTGCCCTCTTGGTGTTTGTTGTTCACAGTTGTCTGCCAGCAGCCCCTTAAGAACCCAGAGATTTTTTTTAACTTCTCATTGATATGGCATTTCTTTCCCTGTTGGTTTGCTTTTAGGGTTGGGGTACCCCAGCTCCTCCACTCCCAAGCCACTCCCCAGCCCTGTTTCCCTGGTTGGCCTCAAACTCACTGTCTCCCTGGGCTGCAGGTAACACATGGCCAAACCTGGCAGAGCATGGCTTTTCGGTTGTTTTTTATCGTTTCATATGGCTTTTGCCTTACCTGTTTTGGTGGTGTGTTGTTGTGTCGGGTACTTATCTGGTCGTTAAGGGAGGAAGGATTTCTTTTTTCTCGATGCTTTGGAGGGCCACTAAATGGCTGCTAAGGACCTTGGGCTTGGGCAGGGCATGATACGGGTAGAACATGTGTTGGGAGCCATCTTTACTGCCTGCCACCTAGGCACCTGGTATAATCTTCAAAGGCACGCCCCCAGTGACCTTTTCCCGCCAACCAGGCCCCACCTCCTAAAGTTTTCAGAACCTCCCGAAACAGTGCCACCTGCTGGGGATCAAGTGAACAACATGGAGCCTGCAAAAGACATTTCCAATTCAAAGCCCAAAGAACACCCTGGTGTATGAAAACAAGGATTCCACTTCCAGGCTTTTGTTTATTTGATGTAGGGTCTCATGGATCTTGCAAGGGCTGCCCTTGAACTCACTGAGTAGCTGAAGATTACCTTGAATTCCTTATCCTCCTGTCTCTGCCTTCTGAAGTGCTGGGATATGCACCTCTATGTCCAGTTTATGTGGTGCTAGGGGTTGAACCTAGGGCTTTGTATATGCTAGACAAGCATGCTAGCAGCAAAGCCACATCCCCATCCTGCCAGTCTTAATAGCTGTGTGGAACCAGCATGCTCTGGCCAAAGAGCTGTAAGTACCCAGGCGTAGTTAGTTACCCCAGAAGGGAGCCGACTCAACTGCAGGACTTAACTCTCTGCTGTGCTTCCCTTCCTTTCTTTTCCTTTTCCCTCGAGTTAATTAATTAATTAGTTAATTAATTAATTAATTAATCAATCGTACCCATAGCTTTAAGGCAGAGGCCCCAGCCAGTGAGGCTCGGCCACTGTCCTAGTGTGCTCTCTTTGCCGTGATAGGAACACATGACCAAACACAAATTTGGGAGGGAAGTATTTTGCTTACACGTCCTGATCATAGTTGATCATCCACCATTGAGGGAAGTCAGGGTAGGAACTCAACAGGAACATGGAGGAATGCAGCTTATTGGCTTACTCAGCCTGCTTTCTTATAGAACCCAGGACCACCCGCCCAGGGGTTGGTACCACTGTAGTGGGCTGGGCCTGCCCACATCAGTCAACAATCAAGAAAATGTCACACAGACATGGCCACAGACAAATCTGATGGAGGCATGAGGTTCCCTTCCCCCAAGGGACTGCAGCTTGTGTCACTGCTGACAACTGCCAGCATAGCCTCCGTCCCAGGTGTCCAGCAGGACACAGAAACAATGGTGGAAGACAGAGAAAGGATGAAATAGCAGCACACTCTGGAGGGCCAGCCACCTCACGGTCACCTCGGGGTGCT